AAAAAAACTAAACTTAAATCAACTGCTCGAGCTAATGAGTTGTGGGACATGTTTACGATCACCCAAAGCTAAGAGCATCTCCAATGGTACATGGATTGCTCTAATTCATTGCCAAATAGTATCAAAAATCTGATGTGGCGGTTCAAAATTGTAGAAGTCTTACTAGATATAGAAAGACTTCTAGACATCTTCTACCATATATCATATTATTTATTTTATATTTCTCTCTCCACCAACTAATTATTATTTTACACGTGTCAAATAATTCAACAATTGACAACAATTGACGTTAACCATTAGAGACAAAATATTTTTATTCTCTTTCTCCACACCAATCTATTTCACCATTCAATCTCAAAATAGATGCTCAACCATTAGAGATAGCTCTAAATATCCTAAATGTAATCATCAAATACAAGTATGATAACGTTGTATCCAGATGTCATATACCTGATCAATTTGATCCCACCATCGGAACTCGGCCTGAATTTTGTTCCGGAAAACGTTGTACAAAAGAGTCGGGTAGAACAGGATACGGGCCCCAGCCCCAACTAGAGCCCTTTTAGCATCAACCCGGACTGCGATCATGCTTCCATCTTTATCACCAACGTCGGTACCCGCAACAGAATCATCCAGCTCCTCGATCTTCATCGCGACCAACGATCTCCGATTAAAATACGATTTTTTCTTCTTTTTTTTTTCACGGATCTGCCAATGGATGAAGAACAGAAAAGGAACAAACCCTAAAAACGAATAAATCTGATCGAGCGGAGATTAAAAGAAATTCAATCCATCTACAAAGATCTGGACATGAGAATGGCGTTAGGATGCTTGGGAATTTGAATATTCGAATATACTGGAATTGACTATGGAGTTGGAGTGTGTGTGGAGAGAAGAGCAAAAAGTCAACAAATAGATGAGATGATGATGGGGAAACGAGGGAGGTAGGCCTTTTGGGGACTTTGGTGTTTTTTACGTATTGATGTTTGCGAATGGTCTACTAATAAATCCGAAACAATCACTAGCGGGGAAATTGTAAAATTATTGGCGTCTGAAAATCGAATTGGTCATCGAATTAAGTGAAGCTACTGGTTCAATGATTCACTGGTTAACTAATGGTCGATTTTTATTAATTTTTTTATATTTTTATTATTAATTTTATAGTGTATAATGATATTTTTTTTTATAAATAAAAAAATAAATATATATCATGCATAGTCTAATTATTTTAGCTAACACGATGTCATAATATTAATAAGTAATATTGTTTTTTTCAATTTCTTTTTTATCCTCGTTGTATCTTTTCGTTTCTTTATTTTTTTATGGGTCTTGTTGCTCTTGTTTCTTAGTTTGCTTAGTTCTGTTATGTATTGCCATGATGGTCCTGTAGGGGAGCTTATTTCATGCTTCCCTCATGTTTCTTTAATTATTCGTTGGTTACTCGTTGTGTACATTGCAGTTGTTTAATTAAAATTTGATGTTTTATAATAAAATAAAAAAAATATAAAAAAAAAAGACGTGCCAACAATGAATGTTTGAACTATTATCAAGTAGGCCCAATAAACAATACAAGCCCAATAATTTCAACAACCTTCTATTTGTGAGGATCCCACATAGGAAACACAAACAAAAAGAATCAGTTGTTTAAGTGATTCTACAGCTTTCTCTAACGAAATGCAATACTGGACTGCTCAGTCAGACTAACCGCTTTCGGTTTTTAACCGGTTAAAATGGTTTTTTGCCGTTTGGAACCCAGTGATTCCATATCTCTAACCGGATCAGTGTATTGGTCAGTTCCTTGTTGTCGGTCAAACCAATCGATCCGATCCGGTTTTTCAGAACCTTGGTCTTTTGGCAGCATAGACTACTCTCTCTCAAACTTTTCCAAATCTCCACTCTTCCCAAAAACCCTCATTCTTTGTACTACTTGTGTGCCTCTCCTTTGTCTGGTGTTCTATTATGCCTCAACGTCGTATATTTTACGTATGTATATATTTATTATAAATTCCACTTTCTATACAGGCAGTTTAAGATATTTCACATAATTCTCATATATTTCACATCACATATTCACATGTCAATTTAAAACAGCTCAAAAGGATAATAACAAGCAAAGAACAATCATTTTCAAACAAAAGGTGTCTCCATAGGCACCAGTCTGACCTCGAGTTTATGGGAGAGTTTTAGGTTTTCGTCTTCGCGTGGTGTTCTGCCGAAAAAACTTGTGGCCATGGTGGGGGTTGGGTTTGGCGGCAATCTCGTGGTGGCAGGCGCTATTAGCCGTCTTGCGGTGGTCGGTGCTGAGATCGAACTCTTGGTCTTCACTTTTTTTTTGTTTTTCCCTAATGTTGGGATGGCTGTTGTTTCTGACGTTGGTTGTGATGCAGTAGTGTGGCTCTCGGTTTATGCGTGGGGAGGATTGTGGTGCGAGTCTCCCGATGTTGACTATGCGGTGAACTATTGGGAGGGATTTCGGGTCGTTGGTCCGAATCTATTTAGTGCTAGAGAGAGTTTCTAGATCTTATGTGTTGGGTCATTGACTGGATCGCTCTCTTGTGGTTGATCGCGTTTTGGGTGTTGGTTTTGTGTGGAGGTGGTTTAGGGTTATTTTTGGATCTTAAGAGGGCCTTAGTCTATTTATTTTGTTTTTCGTATGTTTTCTATATTTTGTGGTTTTTCAATGTTCTTCTCTTGTTGAGAGTCTTTATTTTCCTGTTGGGAGTTTGTAATTTCCAGTTGAAGGAGTTTTTTTAGGTTTTTTTTTGTGTGTTTTGTTTGTTATAGGTTCGTTCTAGGCTTATACCCTTGGTATAGTCCTCCCGACTAGACTCAACTAGGTGGCCGTATTTATTCGGTTGGTTGATTGTTGTCTTGTTTGTAAGTATGTGTTATTTATTAATAATGTCTATCATTTCCAAAAAATAAAAAAAAAAAATTGGCAATTTTATTTCTGTTGTTAGTCAATTTTGTCCCTTAACTATGATGAGATTTGCAACTTTAATTTAGAAAAATTTTTACAATCTGATCAATACAAAATTGCAGCTTTCTTCTAAAAATTGTTAGTTCTGATAATAAATAAGTTTGCAAAATTTTATTTTAATGATTTACTTTAATATTTTGGTTAAATATTAGATTATAATTTTTATCATATTTTTACATTATATCACGTCAATAATTTTTACATCCCAATCCCATGAATTCTATGACTGAACTTCTAAAGTAATCATTGACCTTTTAGAGAATAGGATGTCACTGATGACTTATCACTTCAATAATTTTTTTCACGTTTTTATATTGCATTAATATTTTCAGTTAAATTATAATACAATATGCTCTTTCATTGTCCTAAATCAGCTAGAGTATGGGAGATATCCTATTGTTATGTGTGAATTAACGAGGATTATATTGTACAAATCAAATTGACAATCAAGACAATTCCTTAAAAAAGTAGATAAATCATGTCTGGATTTATTAAGAGTAAAGTTTAATGAAAGAGTAAAGTTCAATGTCTGGGCCCCTTTTTTGGGGTTTCTATATACTATTTATAGTACAGTACGAGGTTGCTATGATCGCATTAATTGCAGAAGAAAAGTCAACGGCGGCTATTTGCCACCTGTTCTTATGGTGCGACACCTGGTCAACTGTCATGATGATTTGCTGAGTCAGCACCGCCTCACGACGTCGATTCGGCATGTCATAGATATCGGTTCGCTAGGCCATAACCGACGAGAGATGTCGGTTTAATGAAGACAGAGAATTATGAACCTATCGGCAGTATAGATGTCGGTTCCTAGGTGATGACGTCGGTACTTAGCCCAATCTTATCCGACATGTAGTTACTTGAAATCTGTGAGTTCAATAACCTCCGAAGTAGCATAACCTTTTAATTCTTGAGCACTTTGTGTTGACAATTATTAATTATTAGGTTTAACGAAAACCATGTCAAATATCCCTTGTTACTTTGGCTGGTATGCATTCTATTATCTCTTTCAGGTATTGGTGGAATCACATCTGCACCATGGGATCTCCTGAGATAGGTGAAGCCCGAATCCAACTTACTACACACATGCTTTGGTGGCTCTGGAAGTCTCGAAATCTTTGAATATTTCAAAGCCAGTCCATTCCAGCTCACTTGATAATCAAGGCAGTTCAGGAAGAGTGGCTGGAATTTGCTCAGTTAGCCTTCTAATTATTGTTTTGATATGCAGATCCTGTTGCTATATTTTATTCTATGTTTGAGACATCGTATTTGCTTTTGTGTTGTGTATTCGTTCTAGGCCTTTGGGCAGTGGAGGATGATTTCACAGGATTCCTCTAAAATTCCACTACAAATCTCACACCTAAACTTTGTATTTCACATTATTTCTCTAAAATTTGAAAATCTTAAAAAAAAAAAAATCTCGAATCTTAAAAAGTCTTTAAATGTCACTCGAAATCCGAAACAAAAAAAAATTCTATGGAGCCATCAGATTGTTTTTTTATGGAGCCATCCACTATTTAATGTATTGACATTTGTCCAAATCTATTAATATATAATAAGAATTAACATAATTCATTTTTAGAAATACTTTCCCGCCAATTTCATTAATTATTGCCTAAAAATAGTAAATTAAAAAATCTCTATTTATTAGCATAACTTTTTTATCCAATTTTTTTTAGGAATACAATCAAAAAAATGGAATCAAAATCAAAATAAACCTAAGAAATACACTTACCATACTTAATACACTTAATTTCAGCTATACCCTTACCATACATATTTTTAAAAAATTTTAAAATACAATTTAAAATATTTAATTAATAATTATCAATTAAAGATTCTTTTTAAGAATCAATCATATTTCTAATAATTGTTATAAATAATATGTATATATATATATATATATATTTACGTGAAAGTAACATAAATCAAATTTAGAAATAATTTTCTGCCACTTTCATTATTATCTCCTAAAAATAGTAAATCAGATTATTTTTTTTATTAATAACATCAAATACTTTTATATTGGTAAACAATAAGGAATCAAAATCCGAATAAATCTCTTATTTTTCGAAACAATTTGGAAATCTGGATAAATCATGATTTTAGAAATCGTGATTTTCAAACAATTTGAGAATCCGAATAAATCTCCAAGGAAAATCATGATTTTTATATATCATGATTTTAGAAATCTGTTCAAAATTTTATTTGCATGAATTTGAATCATAATTCATTCAGCCTATTATTATATTATTAAATTATTTAAAACCGCATGCTAAGATTTGTATATATCAGATTTCTAAAATCATGATTTGTAGATATCATCTTTTCACCAATTAGACTTTTTTTTTTCATTATCGATTTGAAAAAAGGAAAACGAATTTTATATACCTTATCGGTTTTGATAATACAATGTTATAATCATTATCATTATTTATTTTAAAAGATAGTGTTTGTCATTTATTTGATTTCAAAAGATGAAAAAAAAATTCATAGTTTAGGTCTCTTTTTATTTATGCATTTAAACAAATTTATTTAAAAACTCTAATAACGATTGGCAACAAAATTTGATATATATTGATTCAAACCAACTAATTAATAAAATAGTCCATTAATCACGAAATTAAAAAATAACACACGATCACTACATTTCAAAAAATAAGTTTTTTAG